TCTTACTTTCGGGGTACTCAGGGTTCTATCCTTGGCCCTCTTCTATTTATACTCTATACTTCTGAACTACCTCGTATTATTAATAACTTTTCTTTCTCTAGTCAACTATATGCTGATGATTCTTATATTTATACTTCTTTTCCTCCATCTAATCTCAATAGTGTTCTTCATAATTTATCTCTATGTCTTTCTTCGATTATCGCTTGGTCTGATTCTATGTGTCTTAAACTTAATCCTTCTAAGTTTGAATTAATTTGTTTTAATAAATCTAAACACTCAATTACTATTCCTCCTATTATCTTACTTGATTCTAAAACTCTTGATGTCTCTCATAAGTTTCGTAGTCTAGGTTTTATCTTTGATTCTACTATGTCTCTCTCTTCTCAGATTAATAGTGTTGCTAGAAGCTCTTACTTTCATCTACGTAGAATAAAAAAACTTTAGCCTTTTCTTGATGATCCTACTCTTCTCCTTCTTGTTACTTCGTTAGTCTTATCTAGGATTGATTATTGTAACTCGCTCTACTATGGTCTTCCTGACTCTATACTCTATCCTTTAAGTAAAGCTTTTAACTCTGCTGCTCGTCTAGTTGCTCGTGCCCCTTTCTTTTCTCATATATCTCCATATCTTGTTCTCTTGCACTGGCTACCTATAAAATATAGAATAATTTTTAAAAGTTGCACGTTCATGTATAAGTCTCAATCTAAATTATTTCCTAAGTACTATCAGATATATTAATTGAACCTAAACGCCCCGGTTTACGATCGTCTTCATCTTCTCGCTTTTTCTTAACTCGTGTTAAACACTCTTTTGCCAAATCTGCTTTTGCTTTTTCTGGTCCTTTTCTCTGGAACTCTCTACCTACTTCTCTAACTATTTCTCCATCACTTGCGAAGTTCAGAGCGGATCTCAAGACCCATCTGTTTTCAAAATTCATTGAGGAGCGCTGTTGAACATCGCGGAAATAGCGCTTTATAAGCTAGTTGATTGATTGATTGATTGATTGACAATGCAATCTACTCTTAAACGATTTTGAATTAAAATGTAACCTGAATTTTATGCTTTGTACCATATAATTAGAATAAACATAACGGCCTTCGCTCATTTTTGACGGTCGAACAAGGAGCTTACTTCCGGAGGAAAATTGGAGGGTGATTTTTTATCGCCCAAGTCAAAAGTTACGATCGTATATTTACTAATTTCGGAATATTGCTTTTATTTAAAATTTCAAAATGTTTTAAAAGGTGATACTAGATGCTGTTTTGGGATAGATATTGCTGTATGACGGTTAAGTATCTTTTTGCATTTTAAATTAAAAAAATTTTTTGTGAACCACCAACAACACAACAACACTAAACGACGACTAATTAGTAATTAAATTACTAAACTCTAATAATAACTAAAACTAATCTCTACTGATTCCAATTACTAATTGAAATAAATAACAGATAACACTAACGAACATTAACAGATTAGACTACTAGAAACTACCAACCACTACACTACTACATACTACTACTGCACTAACGACTAACAGCACTTGTTCCTAAGATCCTAAATTCTATTGCTTGATTGGTTTTAAAATTTTTATTTACAATGCTTAGGTCTGGGAATAAAAAATATACTAAATTAAATAAATTAATATATTAAACAACTTATCAATCAATTTTATAAAATAAACAATTTTGTAATTTGTTCAATTCAAGCTTCAAACTCCCCAAGCTAACTTGCAATTTAATTAAAATTTATTAATTATGAGTGATTCAAACTAAATTTTTTTTCATTTAATGCTTTACAAAATATTCCTCATTCTTAAATTGTAGTACATGTTGTTATTAAATTTATTAAAGATAATGTGTGATTCCAGTGATTCATCAGTCCATGACTTGTTAGATCATGATCATTCAGTTTTAAAGAATCCCCATCACCATAACCAATGAGGTTTGTAAAAATTGTACTTTTAATTTATTATATTTTATGCACTTAGAATGTTGTGTTATTAATTATTATCATTAATTTATTAAATGCTGTGCATACCTATGGCAAGTAAATAAAATAATTAAGCATAGAAATAGCCACAATCAAATTAATTTATATAGGCATGAGTATAATTTGGATAATAATAATTAAAAATATCGGTATCATTGAAAATGGATAAAGTCATAAATAAAAAAATAAATCATAAATTGCTAAAAATAATAGTTCCAGTAAGATTTTGCCTTACACCTACATCTTTTTTCATTCTTATATTATAATTAATGTTTGTTATCAAATATATCAAGGATTGTTTCTCAATCCATGACTAGATTGAATGTCATGATCCTACAGTTCCAGAGGATCCCCATCACCATTAGTCAATAAGGTTTGTAGAAATCACCCCAGGCATACCATCAATGTTTTGTAGCCACCTTTTAATGTAGTGTTAATAAAATGACATTGAGAATAGTTATTTAAAACAATCTTATTAAAATTATTGAACAGGTATGACAAGATCACTTTCTTAATGTCCTAATGTGAGGAAGATGTAAGCCATTTGTCCAAAGATAATCATATGTCTTATGCCCATACAAATGCAATGTCAACGCGAATGATTTTTGATCAGAGTCATATGTTCTAATTTTTTTAAACTTTTCCAGAAATTTTTCTGTTAATTTATTTGTTATATTAAATACTTGATGTGTATTTCATATAAAAACTTGATTATGCCAATTTAGTTAACTTGTTAAGCATTAATATAAAATTGACTCTACTTGTAATGGTGATTGGTATGATGATGATGATAATCCCAGTCCTAAGCAGGGTTTATTATTCACAATGTCGTTATGCCCTTTCTAAGTTTTAATAAAATACATGGAATATTGTTGAATGCATTTTATATTTTTTGTATAGATAAGAATGTTGCAATGTACAATGATGATGTGAATTGCTTCCTTGTGTAACTGATGACATATAAATATAACTAACTTGAAAACATGGGAATGCTTTCTTCAGCATTACTTTCCTTTTTCCATCATAACCCTTATAATCTTTATTACAGAAATGGTCACTGCATATTCTTGCATTTTTTGATGAAAGCCATTTGAAATCATTTATTTCCTGTCTGATGCACTTAATCCAATCGTTTTGCATTTTTACATTTTGAGGAAATCTGAAATTTTATAAACTGTTACAGAAACTTGTGCATTTCTTAAGTATTGCTTTTAATAATAAAATGGTAATCCATGATAGCATTATAAATTATAATAGTCTATAAAATAAAATATATGTAATTGTAAAACAAAATAGTTCTATTCAATGAGTATAGGGATATTGTTACATTTATTTTAGTGTGAAGTTAATTTGAAAATAAACCTGTGAAAAGATGCATCAGAAATTTTTTCATTTCTATTTATTATTAATGCAATTTTCAATGCAACAGGTAGGCATGTTTGTGTATAGCTATGAAAATGAAAATTTACTTAAAAACTAAATTATTGTATCTGACATGAAAATTAGTACAGAAACAAAAACGAAAGAATAAATGACAATATAAAAATTTAAACATTGATTGAGAGAGTTTATTCTAATTATATGGTATGGGCAATTCGTTGCGAAATCGTTGGAGGAAATGGTGTCAAAAGTAGTTATTTTACTGCATGGTAGTTAATCAGCCGGTATCAAGGTTATATTCAATTCCTATCAAATAAATTTGACAAAATATACACAGGCAGAACTAAATAAAGAAATAGACATGTAGTTATAATACATTTATAATGTTGTATTTACACATTCAAATTGTACAATTGTGTTATGGTGTAGTCTCAAATTATTTTAAATTTTCTCAGAAAATTTTAAACGATTTACTACACTATATATACTAGTTATTTTTATCAGCAATTTAAAAATTTTATCAATAATTAAAAAAAAATTTCAAATTGATTTCATTGCGATATCACTAATGATTTTTGTGACCTGACTGATTAAAAAGCATCAAAGAAAGTTAAAATAGGATGGAGAATTTGTTATATTGGGATATTCGTTTAAAAAGCGAGCAAAATTTTAATATAGAAGCGCTTATAAATCTATGCATATTGGCTCAGCTTGGCTTGGCTCGGCTTGGAATCGGATTTTAAGCAAGGTGTGGTCTTAAACTACTTTGAATTCTCCCCGAAAAATTTGAACTACGTGCGTACATATATA